CAGAAGCTGCCCTCGCTTGCAACTTCGTCGCGACCGAGGGCGGCACTTGCGCCCGCTGACTTCTTACAGGACTGGCATGCATGCCTTCGTGGCAGAGCAAATCTTTCACAAAGGAACAATTGTTGAATCTTCAGAGATGACGCGTCTCGGGCCTTAAGAAGACCTACGGCGCGTCATCTCTTGAAATACCCGGTGCTCGTCACCACCATTTTCTCACTGGTTGCTGGACTGCGCGTCTGGCGCCGGAGAGGATATGAGGTTATCATATGATGATGCATGACTTCTTTTCGTTCTTATCTTATCATGGGATATCTCCCCCTATATAGTGGCACGGTTATTGGTATCATGCCAGTTTACATATGGGAAGGAGCGAGGTAGGTGTATTCGCAATACTGGAACTGTTGCCTTGGGGTGTCTGTCCAAATTGAGCTGGGACTCGTGTTGTATGGATCTCTGATTCCATGGGGGCGAACGCGACGGACAATATATAGTGGTCTTATGTCTCCCTCTACTTGTACAGCGTTGGTTTTTACGTCTTTTCTAGCGCTAATGTGCAACCTTTTTAATCTATACTTCTACGTCGCCGGACAGTTGAACACGCAAATATACCAGTCCAGTAGGATAGCATGGGAGAAGCTTTGGTATGTAACACGGAAGGGAGAGACCATTATCTTATCTGATTTAATCTCACGTTACAGATCTGCCGGTCTAGACTGCTGCGCTCGATAAACACTGGCTGGGATGGTGGAGGTGCAAGGTGGAGGAAAAGTCTGGCCAACGGGAAAACCCTCTGGGTGCAATGGATGCTCAAGCATTGGAGGAATATCAACCAAGTAAGTAAGTACCTACGCAACTTTTATACGCACTCCTTGACTAGTCTACAGTTCTTCTCACTTGGGAAGCGTTTTATCGCGTGTGATTCTTCTACATGATCGACGTATGTCACATTTATAGCCTTTAGTCTGCATGTGCATACCTACAGAAGTGCACGTAGAGGTAGAACTGTGTGTTATTAGTCGAGTGCTCGCGTGCCGGTGGGCCGGAGTTTCGTGAGACGTCCCACTGTGTGTATTGGAGGACCGAGCTGTTGGCATTGTGTTGCAGGAATGTCTTTCCCTATGAGAATGGTCCTACGGCTAGGAAACGTGAAACGTGCTGTGCTGTAATTAAAATTGGTCTCGCGGATAACATAGCGGAGATGTTGATAATCCCCCGCGAGAGGCGGGATTGGAAAAAATATCGGAGGTTTCATTCTTTTTGACGGTGTTTGGTTTAGTCATGCCGTATAGTCTTGGTTATACGCCTTCACTGTTATGATTCATGTCGCTGATGATGATTATTTCTTGTCGACTGCATTGCTAACTCAGCCGCACACGGTACCTTGTATTGATATCGATTCGCATGGGCTCCCACTGCTTCTTGACGGCATGATTATAGCTTGTTTGAGTTTGGGATGGTGTGTAGGTTTGTTTATAGACGCTTTTGATTTGCTACGAGACTGTTATTTCTTGTACGGACGAAAATCAGGAAATTTCTGTTCATTCTTCGGATATAGCGTTGAGGTGATGCTCAGTAGAGGAAATGCTGCGCGAGCATCCCATCCTCTGTATTGGGATGCAAATAGTATGTCATAGTAAGAATCGTTCCCATACACCATTGTCATTGTCATTGTCAAGCACGTCATGACCCGATAGAGTGGTGCTATTATCTGTTGCTGCGCCTACGTTTGATTACTTACCCAGATAAGTAGATGTAATAGATTTGTTCTCGATCGTAGCTAGGGTTAACGAGGAGGCTAATGGATCGTGAGAGTGAAGATGCTGCTGGTCGGTCTTTGTGTGTAGAATATGGCAGTGAATGACTCGATCACGAATATGAGTAGCTGGGTAAACTTCGACCGGAAATATTTTTGTATGTCCATTAAGTACGTAAGCCTCTGTAATGAGTATTGTATTTACTCCTCGTCCCGAAACTGCGCTACCGATACACACAGCTTACTTTTGTCCACATGGCATCACTGCTTGGTCCTGCTCTACCGGCACCGAGACAATTTCCGCCGCAGCCAACCGTCTGTTGTATTACCCCAGGGCCTTTTATCCTGGCTGGGTAGATAGGATTCGTATTCACCCCGCGGAGTGAATGGCTGCTCGTGACATTTTGCTGTTGTGATTCGATCGCTATTCAATTCCTCAGACCTTGGATCTCTAACCCCGTGACACGATGTTTGTTATGGGGCTGCCCCCATTGAATGGTACTATCGTGCTTGCGTGTTGGATGCTACTGGTTTTAAGATCGTGTTCGCCTTATATAGGGAACGCAACCCTTCTACTCTCCTACAATTCACGAAATGTTGCTGATATTTCAATTTCAGTTTTTCTTTGAGCGACATTTCACTATCGCTCTCGGTTGTGACTTGAACGACTTGGTCTACGCGGCAACGACAACTTTGGAACTCTGTACGCTTAGACTTTGGCAATTCTTGCTTGGAGATACAATCGTAGGCTGGGTGGTATTCATCTGGAACTATGTATCAGATTAGCAACATCTACCTCATCTGCGGCTTTGCCGCCATCGGTAAGTCCTCTGCGACGGCAACCTGCATCAGCTCTCACAAGGTGGAATTGCTCATAACCTCCCAGGTGGCGGCCTCTTTGGCTTCGACATTAGCTCCATGAGCGGCGTCCTCGGTACCGAAGCATACAAGAACTACTTCCATAACCCCGTCTCGTACCGACAGGGCGGCATCACGGCTTCTATGCCAGCGGGATCTCTAGTTGGTGCGTGAGCCAATATTAGGATTGGATTTGACTAATGAGCTGACTGTGTTCTAGGCTCGCTTGTTAGCTCTTTCATCGCGGATCGTTTCTCTCGGAAGGTGGCTATTCAAGTCTCTTGTCTTCTTTGGATCATCGGCTCTATGTAAGTCTATACATGCACAAAGCGAATACTTCCTCGCCTCAGATGCTCTGATCAAGAGGACGGCACTGACACCTCTAGAATTCAATGTGCCTCTGTCAATGTCGGCATGCTCTGTGCCGGCCGCATCATTGCCGGTCTCTGCGTCGGCATCGCCTCGTCTATTGTGCCCGTCTACCAGTCCGAAATCGCACCGAAGGAGATCCGCGGGCGCGTCGTCTCGCTGCAGCAATGGGCCATCACATGGGGAATTCTAATCCAGTACTTCGTCCAGTACGGCGCGGCGCAGATCGGCGGCGGTCCCAACGACCCGAATCAGCCCACCGCTGCGTTCCGCATCCCCTGGGGTGTCCAGATCGTACCTGCCGTGATTCTGTTCTTCGGTCTGTTCTTCTTCCCGTACAGTCCGCGCTGGCTGGCGTCCAAGGATCGCTGGGACGAGGCCATTCAGGTCCTGGCTTTGCTTCATGGTGGTGGCGACATTAACCACCCTAAGGTCCTTGCTGAGTATCAGGAGATCGAGGATGCGTTGCGATTCGAGAGAGAGGAGGCTTGCTCCAGCTTCAAGGCTCTTGTTCAGCCGCGAATCTTCAGACGTGTCATTTTGGGCATGAGTATCCAGATGTGGTCGCAGGTATGTTGGTGTCGCGGGTATACCGCTGGACGTGTATTGACTGACTCTTCTTGCAACATAGCTCTGCGGAATGAACATCATGATGTACTACATCGTATACATCATGGAGGGCGCCCAGATTGCCTCTCCGCTTACGACAGCGGCGATCCAATATGTTATTAATGTCGTCCTGACTCTCCCGGCTATTCTGTATCTCGATAAGTTTGGTCGCCGACCTGCTTTGATCATTGGTTCCTTCCTCATGATGGTCTTTTTGTTCACCTCTGGTATGTTCATATCACTCTGGAATCTGCTCTGCTTCTTGAATGCGGTACTAATCTAGTTGATAAAGGTGGTCTCCAGGCCGCATACGGCCAGCCAAATGATGGCGCGGGAAGCGATGATGTAACATGGATCGTCAAGGACATGCCATCTGTGTCGAAGGGCATCGTAGCCGCCTCATATCTCTTCGTCGCAACCTTCGCTACGACTTGGGGACCTACATCATGGACCTACCCCGCCGAGATCTTCCCTAGCAAGGTCCGCGCCAAGGCTGTCTCGCTGTCGACGGCGGCGAACTGGTTCTGGAACATGATCCTCGCCTTCGCCGTGCCGCCGCTGCTGTGGTCCATCAACTGGAAGATGTACCTGATCTTCGCCGCATTCAACGGTGCGGCCTGCATCCACATGACCCTCATGGCGCCCGAGACTAAGGGATACACGCTCGAAGAGATGGATGAGGTGTTTGACTCTGGACGCCCCGCTTGGAGAACGCATAAGAAGGCTAGCAGACTCGATCAACTAGCCCAGGAAATTGAGATGGGCAATGTCAAGGTCTCTGCTCCTGGTCACGAGGACACCACTGGCGCATCGACGACTGCGGAGTTGGGAACTATAGTCGAAGACGTTGAGAAGGTCCCTTCTAACTCTCATCCTGTGGACACCGGTGATAACAAGAGAGCCAAGGCATAGGAGACTGAATTCTGCTTGTGATAAACGCCTGGGTGGTCATTTGAAGGACGGACTGCAACATCGGGCACTAAATGGTAGAAACGGTGGGATTGCCGAACTCTTAATCAATTGCTGGAGGATGGTTACATTGTCCGTATCGCACGGCGTTGCGTCTTGCCAATTCGTAGTTTATGCAGGCTGATGGTGGAAGTCTATACCCATTTACCGTAATAATTCGTTGCCAACATTTGATGAAGTCTAAGTACCTAAGGTATCTGGATGCTAGGTGTACTGGTTGTTGGTGGAAATTCTGATATCAAACACCTAGCGTGCACAACAGTGTTCCTGATCATATTCATGGCTAACTCGGTAAAGCGATAAAATGTCTAATACGTTACTGGGCGAAAGAGCAACCATCAGAAGTTGCGGGGCTAGCGGCGCTGTATTTTGTTGACCCATTCTTAATGGATCCTGGAAGGGTTTTAAGATTAGGACGGAAAAGATGGTAAAAATTGCAAAATGATGAGAAGGGGATTCGAACCCCTGAGGATTGCTCCAGTGGCATCCACCGCTATTGTATAGCGTAAGTTTTAACTTGAGACCACCGCCATAACCACTCGGCCATCTCACCAGACTATAACGGGCTTAGTAGCACGTTGCGATAATCATCCCTCTGCCAGAATGCTCATATTGTGCTTCCGCAACGAGATCGTCAGAAATCTTATACTGGATGCTACATTGGTGGGATCTACGGAACCGCGACAAGCCACGGCCCGCGTCAGCGACGTAGCGAGTAGACAGTCGAATGCAGAGTTATATGTTGTCACTTCAGCAGTCTGAATAGCATTCGGTGAGTGCTGACCCGAGAAGAATTGGCGCCGACAGTAAGTTTCGTACATTTTCCCGTCGATTTGTTATTCATCAATGCTTTGTACAGAAGATCTTAACTATTATTATAGTAACATGTCCGAATTCAGAGTAATACGCGTTGTCTATGGGGCAAGGTCTGTATCTGAGACAGGTCCACCGACCCATAATGTACGAGCATCATTGGTGGAGGATTTCAAGCTAGACTAGCTGTCGGCTTCTGTTTCCGATAACCAGAGTACGTTAGACTAAACTCTCAGCTTGTCTGTGAGACTGAACGCTTTTGAAGATAGCGGCCTGAGAGAGATGCATGCTGTGAGTGTCGAGATCAATAGTTATTTGTGTATGTGGCCGTTCAGACAATATGCCAAGGCCCCAAGTACACTACTGTAGTTAGAGATTCCGTCGCGGATAGAGTAACAAGCTCTCCGCCAACTAAGATTCAGGAACATGGATTCCATTGGCGGAGTTTCTACCTGACAGGGGACGGACACAACGGCGGACAGCCCTTTTTGGCCTTGTTCTGCTAGACGAAACATGGTGTTGCGACCTAAGTGATGATATAGCATGATTTTACTATAAGAGAGCTGCTTGGCGGAGAGCCGCAAAGCTTGTCTTGTCGTCCCAAGGGAATCACCAAGTTTCTTTCTCCCACAACTTGACAAAATGATTTCCGTATCTTCGGCTCTCCTCCTCGCTGCCTTCGGGGCCAGTGGTGTCCTTTCGAGCCCTGTCGCTGCACCCGCTGTTACCCCTGGGCCCTCTCTTGACAGCGTCCTTCAGAAGCGAGCAAGCTGCACCTTTTCCGGGTCACAGGGTGCTTCTTCTGCCAGCAAATCTCAGGCTTCGTGTGCTACTATTGTTCTGTCTAACGTTGCAGTACCATCTGGTACCACTTTGGATCTTTCCAAGCTGGGAGATGGTACCCATGTAAGATCAGATCTTCCATATAAGAACCAACCAATGGCGGAAGCATGAGTCTAATTGCCATAATTTACCTATAGGTCATCTTCGAGGGAACAACGAGCTGGGGCTACAAGGAATGGACTGGACCGCTGCTCCAGATCGAGGGGAAAGACATCACCATCGAGGGAGCAAGTGGCTCTGTGCTCGACCCGGACGGTGCTCGATGGTGGGATGGTGAAGGTGGGAATGGCGGGAAGACGAAGCCCAAGTTCTTCGCTGCTCATGACCTCACTGGCTCTTCCTCCATCGTCAACCTGAATATAAAAAACACGCCAGTACAGGCCGTCAGTATCAATGGCTGCGAAGGCCTGACTGTGACTGATATGACCATTGATAACTCTGCCGGCGACTCGGCAGGCGGCCACAACACGGACGCTTTTGATATCGGTTCTAGCTCCGGCGTTACCATCACTGGAGCTAAGGTGTATAACCAGGACGACTGTGTTGCTGTCAACTCCGGAACGGTATGTTGATCCGTTGCGAGGAGATATCCGGAAATGGACTAATAAAGTCCTGTAGGACATCACATTTTCGGGTGGCCTCTGCTCTGGCGGCCACGGGCTGTCTATTGGCTCAGTTGGAGGCCGTTCTGACAACACTGTCGAGAATGTCACTTTTAAGGATACTACAGTGACAAAATCAGTGAATGGTAAGGTTCCCTCCCATTACTATGATTTAATCACATGTACGACAAATAGTGTGGAACACAGCCGCTAATCGTTCGACTATAGGTATTCGTGTGAAAGCCGTTGCGGGGGAAACAGGCACTATTAAAGGGGTCACATACAGCGGGATTACTCTATCCGAAATCTCAAAGTACGTAATGGTTCTTTCCTCGAGCCATAAGTTCATGACAAAAGGACGTTCATGGCCGAGGGACAAATTTTCTTATAGTTTAAGCTAACATACAATTTCCCAGGTACGGCATTCTGATAGAGCAAAATTACGACGGAGGCGACCTCCACGGGGACCCGACTAGCGGCGTCCCTATAACCGACTTCACCGTCGAGAACATTTCCGGCTCGGGTGGTGTAGAGAGTGGTGGCTACAACGTCGTAGTTGTCTGCGGTAGTGGTGCCTGCACCGGCTGGACTTGGTCTGGTGTTGACGTTAATGGCGGCAAAGACTACGGGTCCTGCCAGAATGTGCCCAGCGTCGCGACCTGCAATGTCTAAAGACTTACAGCTTTGCTTTCCGATTGACTGGATCATTATAGAACTAGAGCCCGCTGGAAGACCAACCAGACAGGTTGCTTGAGAATTCCGCGTATACTATCTCCTTGACCAGAAAAAGAAATTAGGAACTGGATCAAGCTGGGGATTGTTTAAAATCCATGAAAATAATATGTGTTAAATATGTGTTCGTAACGATCAGTAATACTGCAAGCAGTATAGGAAGAAGGCTCTAATGCGAGATGATTTAAATCGAGCATAGGCTAACACGACGAAGTACGTCTAACTGTATCCGCCTAGCCAAAACAGCACAGCGTAAAGCTGTGAACGTTTTTATTATTAAAACGAAACTGAAGTAAGGAAGCTAATTCGAAGCTTTGTAGGTTCACTATACGTAAGTTACTGGTATGCCGAGACGGACGTACTGGTCTGCTCTGTAATGATAACAGTTGGTATCACGAAACATAACGACGGCACTGTATATAGTAGCGATTGCCATGGAATACATGCGCTCGTTTTAATAGGGGGTGTAATAACGTGTGGCGAAGGGTTTCCATAATCATGAAAAGGATGACTCTTATGGAAGCAATCAATGGACCCCCCCCACCATCAATAGAGCAAGAAATTCGACTCAGAGTTCTTTTTTAGCGGCTTGATTGAAAGTCTTTACGACGAAATATATGATGCTTCCTACTGTAGATCTAAGCGAGGATTATCCTTTTCCTCTGCCGCTCGCATTCTTGCCAAACGGACTTCGTGACCCTAGTCCATGCTACTCTTCTAGCAAATTTATTGTCATTATCCCAACTCACAAGCATGATATTGTAAATCGGCCCCTTGGATTCCCGTTTGCAATTGTGGGCTTCAATAGGTGTTGAAGAGAGTAGGATGAACTCTTCTTGAATTTCGTCCTTACCGGAAAAGTTTGCGAGTGGGAGCCAAATGGATCCGACGTCCTTGCCGGATAATAGGCTGAGTGTGGCACATCCCATAGAACATCGGTATGTCTCAGGCTTATATGCTCGAACAGTGTGCATCCTCAAAATTGCTGATTCGGTGGTAAAGTGCAGTAATGCAAAGTCGAATGCCGCGTTTTCTTGAGAGATCTGGTCCGATAAAAAGGTCATGGACTGTAGGTTTCTTGATTTCTTCTCTTCTTCTTCCTCTTTCCCTTGGCTACCATCTGGGAGTCTGGACCTCTTCATATGTATCGGTTTGTGCCACTCTACCATCGACTCCACTGACTCATAGCACTCGTCGTACCAAACTTCCGTACCCTTCGAGATCCAGCACCAAGAAGGCAATATGACTTCCTGCCATTCACCTTTCTCGGTTGGAATAATCAATGATTTATATAGTTCACACGAATTATTGGCTTTCCATAGGAGCGCGGAATCGAGCTTCTCTTTTGGCAAGCCCCAGGCCGATCTTCGACGCTGGAAATCTTAGGAAGGCTTCTACGATCCTTTTCAGTCATTGGCGGCTCCGTCTGTACCTTCCAAACTACAAAATTCTTATGCCCAAATTTCCTCGCCAGCTCCGACGGCGAAAGTGTTTTCCTCTCCGTCTTCATAAGGGACCGTGTAGGCAGAGTCTTGTTGGCGCCTCTTTCTAGCAGAAGTCGCACCATGTCTTCTTTCTCGCTCCAAATGGCAAAGTGAAGCGCATTCTGCGATCCAATCATCATATCCTCACATGTGTCCCCCGAAGATGCCTTCTGAACTTTGTAGAAGGCATCGGCTGAGTAGCCTTGATCCAAGAGGTACCGGGCCACTTCTACGCGATCAGGCTTGCTACCAAAAACATGGGAGTAGGATGCGCGTGCCACTGGAGCTCCGCCCCGAGCACTGCCTGCCTGCTTGACCAAGACTTTTATGGTGTCGAACGAGGCATTACTGGCTGCTTGCTTAATTATTGTTAGTCCTGAAGGGCTGGATGAACTGGTATCGGCCCCTTTGCTTAGACACCAAAGAACAAGGCCGGGAATGTCTACTACCAAACTACCCAGAGCGTTAGTTTCGCATTATGCTGCAACGCAAGGCAGAGGATACTTATTGTTTAAGGAGGGGTAAAGCTTACCTTATAAGTGGCGGTCTCGTCTCTCCGAGTGGCTTGTTAATATCCCATCCAAAATCAAGCAGAAGCTCCAAGACTGTGGTATTATTGGTTTCTCTCAATTTCGAAGTAGCATATACGATCGTTGAAGTGGGAATCAACAGTCCCATTTGTAGAAGAAAGCGAATTATGTCTTGGTTATCGTTTGCACACGTCAGCTGCAGGGCGTTCGTGTTACTGAACCAGGCCAATAAGTTTGGCTGCACAACAGGCGCGTTATCCGATGAAGTGACCTGCCATTGTCTTGTGAATCTCTTAACCTCACTCAGGGGTGCGTTCCTCGCTATGAATCTCTGAAACTCCATACTAATGCGGTCCAGAGCGTTCGCTCGCCCGCTCGGGTCGTGGCCATCTTGGGGTGACGTTCTTGAGACTCATGGGTTTAGTATCTGCGCTGTCGTTGCAGTCTGGGATATGAAAGACTGGATCATGGCATATATTCCTCCAGCTCGCGAAGGGAATGATGGCAAGCTTGCAGCGACGAGCGAGGATCTGATCAATGAATATTTGG